TTCTCCCTCTCCCATTTCTCTCACTCCTGCCTCTTTCTTTGACTCTGGATCATCCTATGTAGCCCAGACTGGCTTTGACCTCATAACCTTCATGCCTCAGCTTTTTGAGTATTGGGACAAAAGCAGCGTTAACACAGATTGACAATTTAAGATATACAATAATATATAATATTAATTATTAATTACATAATAATTAACACATTTTAATATTTATAAGTGATTATAAGTTATTTGGCATAATATAATTATATATAATGATTGATATAATGATTACTAAATTATATTAATTATATTAATTAATATAACATTATATTATATATTAATATATCAATATACAATATGCATGTAATGTGTAACATGTAACATATAACATAATATATATTTAGGGTATATTAATTGCACAAAATTCATCTCTGAGTGGACGTTTTTCTTGAAATGTATATGCTCAGCCCCAAAATAGGATGTTAGTAAGGACCAGGCCTGTACAAACTACTATAAGCCCTTTGCAGTGAGGTTGTCACATTTAAAAAACAATAACAGGAAAGGACAAGAAAGGAGTTTGGGGAAAAAAATTCCATATTCTTATTTTCCACCTTAGTGGCCTGTCCCTGTAATCCCCTGTTCTGTGACTTGTGGTGCACAAAGGGTTCTTATAGTGGTATTCAGAGCACAGGAAGAGGAGAGGTAGCCCAGAGCTGAAAAATGGTGAGAACAGATCCATTGGGTGGGCTTTATAACCAACTGTTCAAAGTCTCTAGACAATGGAGCCCATTGTCGGACCCCACCCATACAGCACCTCCCAAATGCCACTAGATCCTGGTACAGTCCAGACAGAGTCCACCTGGCCCTGGGCTCTCCAGGCTAGCCAGCTTCTCCCTTTCTCCTGACTCATGTCTAGTCAGACACTCAGCTTCTGTCTGGACCTTGGACCACATGAGCACAGACTCAGAGGCACAGACAGAGCCACGCGCCTGTTTGCTGCTGCTCATCACTGTCCCTAGGGGGAGAGTTTACACTGTGTAACCGTGAAGAGAAAGGTGGAGGCATTAAAATGTCAGTGACACCCCCAGTGTTTCCTTTGGTACTTTCTTCCCTATTTCCTATCTAGTCCCCACCACCCCCAAAAAGAATGAGCTAGTTTTGCAGTACCACAAGGGATACAAAATAATAGTTTGTGTCCTCCAGACTGATACCTAGAAGGACATTGTTAAAGACAGGTGTGTGAGCTCAGGGGTGTGTGTGTGTGTGTGTGTGTGTGTCCCAGAGTGTGTCTCTACAGCAGGAATGATCTCTGTCTCGTGCTGATTCCAAGCCTCATTTCTCTAACCCCACCCAGGCCAGGCCTCTGTTGGGAAGAAGGGACTTAGTATTGATGAGAAAGGGAGCTTGATCTAATTGTTACATGATTTCGTGCCAAACCGAACTCCACACTCTCTGAAACTGAGTCAAAGTGTCTTGACCTGAGACGAGTTGAGTGGTGGCATATCGCCATGTTCAGAGATGGCTGCATTAGCTGTGGTCATAACTCAGGATTGTTGCAAGATAGATAGATCAGGAGGACAGGGTGACTGTCCAGTCTGGATGGTCACAGCCATGGGGTGAGGGACTTGAGCTGAATCTGCCTCCATTCTGTGGGCAGCGTGCCAGTCGGGGGCTTTCTTGAAGAAAACACAGCCGCGTTTTGTTTTGCTTTACAGTTTGTCCTCCTGTTTCTGTATATGCTCGTGGAAAGGTGTTCCATGTTCTTCACGTGTTTATATAACACTCCTAGACAAATTACTCTTTAATGTCACTGTCAGAAATAAGTTGCTAAAACTGCACATGCGCACCTCGAGGCAAGCAGGGAAGGTTGAGAGCAGAGCCGCCAATGTGCTTGTTGCGGCTCTGTGGCAGTTCGCCAAGGTATTTTTAACAGGGAACTCCAGGATTTGCTAGAGTTAAAAATGCATGGCTTATTTGATCATTTTCCAGAGATGATGAATAGCTAGAGACAGCTAACTAAAAGCAATGAGCCTGTGATGGAGAACGCCCTGGCTTACTGTGCTGGGACTCGGGGGAGGAGGCTGCTGACTCACCCGCAGGTCTTGTGGATGGAGAGATACCACACCACACAAAACACCAGGAAGGCAGCTGCTCTCTGGGAATGACTCGATAGCCCATCAAAGCAGAAGCAGTTTGTAACACGCTGGGACCAAGCCACGTGGCTACGGTGTTCCAGAGATCACAAGCACTTTGTTTTTGGGGGACTTAAGTAATCCACGCTGCTAAACAAAACACATCTCCTTAGAAATGTGAGGTGTGCTTCTGAAGATGGTTTCTTAAAGCCTTTACATCTTTGAGACAATGTTATAGATAACTCACAAACATTTGTCAGAGCTCAGTCTGCCTAGTATGAATCACCAATAGGCAAGCATGTAGGTACCAGGCCTGTAACATGGGTTTTTTACCTACATTTTCTCTTTTTTTTCCTTTGAGTGTGTGGTGCTGGGGACTGAGGCCAGAGCCTCTCTCACCTCAACCCCTCATTTATTCTTTTACAACAATCCTATAAGCTATATAATTATTAGGTGTGCTTTGCAGATGACATCAGATAAGAAAATTAAAGCTAGGAAAGGTTAACTTGCCCCTTGTCGTAAAACAAAGAAGTAACGGCCCTGATTCAAGCTTCAGCAAGATTGTGTGTGCTTCTGACATTAAGGACCCACTTGTTTGTGTATCCTAACATTGTAACTATCATAAAAGCCACTAAAACAGCCGGGCGGTGGTGGCGCACGCCTTTAATCCCAGCACTTGGGAGGCAGAGGCAGGTGGATTTCTGAGTTCGAGAGTTCGAGGCTAGCCTGGTCTACAGAGTGAGTTCCAGGACAGCCAGGGCTACACAGAGAAACCCTGTCTCGAAAAAAAAAAAAAAAGCCACTAAAACATGGCAGCAACCCATAACAAGATGTGCTAACACTCACAACAAGATACTTGGCATAATCATTTGAAAGGTCCAAGTATTTATTTCCTGGAACTGAGGAGAAGGCACAGCTGGCAAAAAGTGCTTGCCTTTGAGCATGAGAACCTGAGTTCCGATCCCAGCACACAAAAAGCTGGGTGTGATCCCACTCTTGACTTTAACCTTGGCACTGTCTGGCAGCAGAGCCAGAGAAGTGTTATGTGTTGCTATCGGACAGCTGAGCTCCAAGCTCAGGGAAAGACACTGTCTCAGGAGAGCGAGACAGGGAGATAGTAAAGACCAGGACCTTCTTCTAGCTTACACATTCTAAACACCAACACCAACACACACACACACACACACACCACATACACACAAAATTACTTTCTAATTAATTAATTAATTACTGCTGGGGATTGAACTCTAAGACCCTCACATGCTAAGTGTGTGCTTGACCAGTGAGCTAATCCTGTAAACGTAGAAGATTTAAAGAAATGGATGCCATAGTGTGTGGCTAAAGTCAAAGACAAGACTGTGAAGTTATCATTTCAAATTCACCCCCCATCTCTTCCAAGTCCCAAAGTACAGTCCACTTGGAAGTTTCTGTACAGTCAGCCAGGATGACCTAAATCGAGAGAGCTGGGGCAGGGGGTCAGGGAGGCTCATGAGGAACACATTAGAGATTTAACATTGCACCGCTGGAACTAGGTGAGGATTGTTAATGCAGAGGTGGGTGTGAGAGCACTTGGGAGACTGAAGCAGGAGGATCACTGTAAGTTCAAGGATAATTTGGGCCCCAGAGGAAGAACCCTGTTTGAAAAAGAAGCAAAACAAGATAAGAGCCTGGCGTGGGGTACACACCTACTATCCTAACACTTTAGAGGCAGAGGCAGGAGGATCACACAATTCAAGGGCAGCCTGGTCTACAGAGTGAGTTCTAGAGCAGCCTGGGCTACTGCTGTGCGACACTATCCTTAGGATGTGTGAACAGCATCTACCTCTTCCAGACAGAGAACTGATGACAGGTGAAAGTGGGGATCCCCTGAAAGTCCAGCCTGGTGAACCAAAGAGTTTTATTCCGGTTGTCTGTAGGAGCAGAAATGACTGAAAGGCAGCTGCATCACCAAAGCCCAGCCTGGCATGGGAACAGCTTTCAAAGCTGGGAACCTGGAGCTCACCACACAGTCTGCAGGCAGCTCAGGTTGGAGAGTGTCTCTTCCAGGCGGTGTGACTCCTCTGAGTGCCTTTCAATGCCCTTCTACTGGTAGTTGCCTGAGGAGGGAGGGGCCTAGTGACTCTGATCAGTTTTGGGAACTTCCTGAAGCCTTTGTTAACTTTCTGCCTCAATAAGCTTCCTCATAGGATGGAATGTTTCACCTCCCCTTAGGACATTTTGTCGGCTCCCCTCCCCTTTAACATCTTGGACCTTAACTCCCTTTTCACCAAGGTGGAAGGTTTTAATCTCTGAAGAAACTGCTATACAACAGCCACAGAGTGAGTCCCTGTCTCAAAACAAACAAACAAACAAACAAACAAACAAACAAAAAAAGAAGAACCAGAGAAGTGTTTTGTACTATAGATAATGAATCAAAATTATTCTTACTACCTGAACCAATAAAAAGATAATTGATCCATTTTTAAATATGAACAAAGTTTATCAGTTGTCAACTTAGCAAAAGAAGAATTGAATTTACCAATTAATATTTGAGGGGAAAAAGGATATTCTTCTTAGCAATAAAACAGCAAACGAAAGCTTAGGTAAAGTAAATCCACTAGCAGTCTCACCTAGAAGGACCATTTAACAATGGGCCTGAAATCTTTCAAAGTGCATATCCTTAATCCGAAATTCCTCTTGTAGAGACGTATGCAAAGGGACAGATTGGAACTGTTCATAAAAGTTAAAAATTAAGAGTAGTCTGGAGTTAATTATTATGAAAAGTATTAAGTTTTACTGTTGTTTTATGGGCCCCCCTCCCCTTCTCCCTCTCTCCCTCCCCCTCCCCCTCCCCCTCTCCCTCTCCCTCTCCTCCCTCCCCCCCTTCAGAACTGTGATTGAATTTAGAGCTTCAGCATACACCAGGCAGGCACCCTGCTACTTTACATTCCCAGGCCTCACCTCAGTTTTTAAATATCTAATGTGTTAATGGGTTACTGTATAGCTACTAGAAGGGAGGGGGAGAGATAGGGGAGATTCTGTCTGTGTGTTGCAGTGCTGGGAATTGAACCCATAACCTTGCGTGTTCTAGGAAGAGCTCTACCACTGAGTCATGCCCCACCCTGTGTGACCAGCAGCACACTAACAGATAACAGAACAAAGATCCTGTTTCTGAGAGGATATCTTTAGAACAGAAAAACATTTGGGAAAGTGCCAAAGTATTAGCTATAGTTAAGGTTCTAAGGGGAGTTTTGTTTTGTTTAGGGGAGGCAGGCTTGCTGGAGTGGAACCCAAGACCCTGTACAATAAACACTGACTGGTTTTACCATAATTTTGAAAACTATTTCTGTTACAACCACTGGACAGAGCTTAGTGTTACAGACAAAAGAGGGCCTTGCTAGATAAGGCCATACAAGGAGAATGTGCAATCTGGAGACTTCCGTTCCACAGAGATGGCCTCTGGCCCTTAGCAATACTATCTGGTGCCAACCAGTATCCAAGGAATAAAGACTTCACTCTACCACTGAGTGTTTTTCAGAGTCTCATAATTAAAGGTCTGTTAGTAAATCTTAGAAGAGACTATTTTTTTTTAGTGTGTGAGGTGTTAGTGTTCAAATCAAGGGCCTTGAGAGTACATGTGGTAAGCAAGCTCGCTGTCACTGAGGTATCCTCCCAGAGCCAAAAAACAAACAAACAAATAAACAAACAAGAAACCAAACCAAAAAACTCAAAACAAAAACTAAAACTACAATTTCCGTCCATTGTCCACAATTAATGAGTTTTTCTATAGAGGCTATTTCTTTATTTATTCCCCTGCCTCAGATACAGCTCTGCCCTCCTCTCCCTCTTCCATGTGTTCCTTGCTCCCACAGCATGCACGTGCACACACACACACACACACACACACACACACACACACGCACACACAGTTACCTCTTTCCCCTGTCAAGGACACATCTACCTATTGACTGATCTGTCATCTCTTGTGGCTTGTTTTGTTTGTTTTTCTGAGACACCGTTTCCCAGGCTGTAGTTGCTGGGACTACAGGTATGCGTACCTTCGCTATCGCACAATGCTTTCCTGAGCATCTGTCAAGTGAGTCAGGAGACTGCCATAGACTGCACACATCCAAGAGCCAAGGAGAGAGCACATCTGCTCACCGTGGTTATTCATGACCTTCCTTGGAGACAGAGCTGGCTAGCGATAGATCTGCGCTAGAATGCAAGTAGAAAGAACTGTAAACCTAGAGAAGCAGGAAGAAAGAACCAGGGGCTCCAGCTGCTCACTAGGACAGGCACGAGGAGCTCCCCAACACACTGGGGAAAAGCCGTGAAGTCAGATACTGGACAAAGATGGCCAGACTTGAAACAAACAAACAAACAAACAAACAAACAAACAAACCACAAGTTAGCCAACAGCATGGCTATGTTCAAATAACAGGTCTCTAACATATAACCATTCATACTCCAAGATGCCTGTGATGGGGTTCTAGACGGTGCAGAGAACACTCCCAGCCCCTCTGTGGGCTTGAACAGATGCACCATTGAAAATAAGTCAGGACCACAAACTCTTGAAGGCAACGACACGTTTTAAAAAGACTTTTGGCATCCATTCATAGGGAATGGGATTAGATTTAATTAAAGGCAGGAATCCCCAACTCCATCTGGTTGTCTCCCTGTCACTGGGGAGGGATTTTGGAGAGCTAGAGATTGTCTCTTGGCATCCGTGGATTTCCTCCTCAAGAATCGAATATAAAATTCAAACTGCCCCTTGTGTGTGAAATTGCAAGCTAAGCAGTGCTGGCTTTCTGATTGTTTAGTCTGCAGTCACCTCCGCAATCGAGGGATCGGCTCGCCCTTGCTCATCACTGTGCTATTGGTCTGTTCTGTATTTCTTTCTTTTTCAGTGACAGTGAATCCTAAACCCAAGTGGTGTTGATGTTTCCCAAGAGCACACTTCCCGAAGGCACCTGCCAGCCCACCAGGGGAGGATGAAGAGGAGACTAGTTTAATTATTTTCAAATCAGTGTAGACACAAGAACCTTTTAGTGTTTCTTCCACTGTCCCCTCTTCAGACGATGGCATCCCCTGGACTTGGAAGAATGAGGGACTGAAGTCTTGGGAAGACCTGGTGCCCACCAGCCCAGTCATGGTGAAGGAGACCTGTGTGGCGCTGGCTTCAGATCTGTGGGTGTCCCTCCCCACTGCCTCCTCCTCACTTATTCTGATCTCCCTAAGATGACAGCACTGGTTGCTTCACTTGCAAGGTTTGGATCAGGAAGCTGGTCTTCTTCCGGGTCACCTTCCTGCCTAACAGGTTTGGATAGTATCCGCTCGATATTCAGTCTCTCAGGTCAACTCTAGTCATCTGGAACTTTCTTCAAGGACAGTTGTGTTATGGAAAACACGCCAAACAAAGCGGGTGTTTCATAGCCACACCATCCCAGGGAGTTGTTAAGCTTGTTCCTTACCTGCTAAGAAAACACAAGAAAGTCCACGGTTCTCATGGGAGATCCTTGCGTGACTCGTAGACTTGCACTCGGCCACATCTCGGTCACCTTTGAAAACTTCGTAGGAGAAGTAGCCATCTTTAAAGAGAGAAGCAACTTTTGTCTTATCAGCTAAAGTCGCCTCTACTTGCAGCACCCCAAAGCTGCTGATCTTGTTTCAAGCCACAGGCCTGGCCTGGGCCATGCGGGCTTGGTATACATGCAGGTTGGAGTCATCTGTCACCCTTCTGTATCTTGGAGATCTTCAAGACTGAGCAAGAAAGATCTGTACCGTGGCAGCTCTGGTTCAGGGCACTTGGTGTCCCTCTGCACTCTACACCCAGCCTTCCCTGTAGGCTGGGATGAGACTCCAATCCTCAGCACTCTGGGAGGTGGCTATCAGGCCATCAGAAGTGACATTCTACATGAAATTAGTTGATATCCATGTTCTAAAAACAATGGAGTAAAAAATGCAGAAAACCCCACTAACCTCTCCTCCTCAATAAAGCCAGTTCATTTAATCCTTCGTTTTTTAATTCTAACCTTTAAAGGGCCATCTAGTAAATTGAGTCTCTGGTTCTCCTGGGATGTTTGGTATTTTATTCCAGGAAAGAAACAAAGAATGAAAATTTTATTTTGCTAACCACATATAAACTGAGGGGAGATGAGGTTAACCAAACTTTTTGCTGCTGAATTGGGGTTCTGTGTTTGAAAGGCTGCCCTCATGCTCCACAGAGAGCCTTCTTCTCCCGCCTTGGGGCCCCTTTAATGAGCTCTTGCCTTCTGAGATATGCAGATAATTTTATAGGCAGAGCTGGAGGCCAGGGTGGTCTCTCTACACAGTGAACGACCTGAATCCCAGCTTTCCTACTGTCCTGGGACTGAGCAGTGCTCTGACAAAAGGAGGTATTCAACAGTGTACCCTCAGCAGATTTGTTGTCCTGTCTCAGTGTTCTCACTCTGACATGGCTCCGAGTCACTGCCCTGTGAACACTCACAACCAATTTATAACCTGCCCTGACTCTCAGACAGTCACCCAGCAGACGGATGTTGCCTTCTGAGTCATCACTTGTCTGTTCTGTCCACGACTGCTACTTTAAATTTGTTTCTCTTTCTCTGAAGTCTAGTTCCTTCTTTCTTGGGGTGTCTAAGATCCTCGATGACTACCCAGGCCTTTGACCTTGGTCCAACCCTGTCCAATATCAGACTTCAGAATTTCTCAGAAGTGTGTGAGGTGTTGGACTGTTACTTTTGATAAAGGCATGGTTCGTGAGATGATAACATGATTCTCATTCAATACACCAAATAATCTCAAACTCCTGAAGAAACAAATTTACCAGCATGCTGTGGAGTTTGTATCTGAGATCTGTGTTGACATTTCTAGCTGCACAGGAACTTTATACAGAGCTACTTTGTTCTGGCAAGACTCGTGACATTAGTATGGGCCAAGCAGTCAAGTTAAGCCTGCTGGTCCTGGTTATTATCATAGAATCAGAACATGTATGTGTGTATGACAATTCCGTGAATTCTTAAAACAAGAACACTTATTTTTTTTTTTTTACATTATTAGCAGGAGAAAAAACCCTCATCAATTTGCCTTAGCTGGATAGCTAATCGGAGCAAATCAGATTTTAAAATAAAGATGACTATGGAATTAATGTTCATGGGTTGTTTGCCTAGTGTGCCCAAAGGTCTGGGTTTGACCCCTAGCACTATATAAACTGAGCATGGTTGCAGGAAGATCATTCCCACAAGTTCAAGTCCATTTGCAGATACATAGTGAGTTTGAGGTCAGCCTGGAATATATAAGACTGTGACTCAAAAAAATTTTTTAAGACACATGCTTTGGTGTATTTTTTTTATAAAAGAAAAGTAGGTTGATAGCATTGCTTAGCTGAACTTCTTCAGAAAGTTGTTTCAATAAATATGTTTTTAAAAGTCCATTTGGGACTCAATTTTTAAAAATAACTTATTGAACTTGTTCTTTGCCAATTTCATATATGTATGAAGTATGTTCTGATTTCTGTAGCCCCAGCCTCTCTAATCTCCTTCTCACCCCCTCGCCTGCCCTCCCTACAAGTCTCTTCTCCACATGCATGCCATTTTTTGTTTTGTTTTGTTCTGAGGGACATTTAATTTAACTAGGATTGTCTGTGTGGCCAAGGGTTTGGAGCTAGTGAGCTCCTAAGTGGGTAAACAACTGAAGACAATGACTGTCCCTCTCCAAGGATCCCTTAGCAGCCAATAGTTCTTCTCCAGTTGGTGATTGACTGTTGATCAAAGCTCAGTCTTAGGTAGGTAGTCACAGCTAATGTGGAGTAATGGCTGCACTGCTGTGCAAGCCCGGGGGGAGGGGGAGGGAGACAGCATTTCACAGCCGTCTCCCTGTCTTCCACCCACGTCTTACAAGTTTGCTGTACTCTCTTCTGCCAAAGATTCTTGAGTTCTAAAGCTAAGCAGAGTGGCGTGTCACCTGAGTCTCTGTAGAAACAAATGTTACTCTTAGCCTTAGCCAGAGAGGTTGCTTTCTGCAGTAATAGCAGTATCTGCAAACATCCATGGCAGCTCAAGCAAGGTTCTGAGAATAAGTGACAGTTGAGTACTTCATCCCAAGCAGGCTATCTGTCATGATTCCTCTCTCTAGGAGGGGCAGTAGTACCCAGATGCCTGGACATAGTCTGGATCAACCTTGGCATCATAGATGGTATGTGCTTTCTCTGACTTTTGGGGCTCTCTAGCAACAGAAATAATAACAATATAATTGGAAACCTTAAAAAAAAAACCTTAGGTTTGATCTTGCAATTAGGTTATATAAAAGAACAATTCACGTCATCTCTGGAAAAAGATTTGTTTATGTTGAATAAACAAATCGTGGGAGCTAGTCTCGTCTTCTGTCAGAATCAGTGCAAATTCTAAGCCTTGCGGAGTAATAGGACATGGTTTCCCACTGGGAAGACCGTGCTGGACGTCATCGTTGTGGGGAAAACATTGACGTTTTATGCTGAATTCAATTAACACATGTAACTTTCTCACATTGTGAAGACACTCAGGGTGCATTTTGGGGTTTTCTTTTAATAACCACAACAAGCAGTTAAGAGCAGCTTTCGTTATAGACACATTTCTACAGCCACAGTGGCCAGAGATCGTCTGTAGCCGCTGGGTCAGTCTAAGCCACTTGTAACTACCCAAACGACTAGTTGCTTGGGCTGTTTATCGCTTCAGATCTTCTGTTGGCATCTCGTTGTCGCTGCATTGTCTGGTATTGAAACCTGATTTCCCTCTACTTGACTGTTATTACTTCCAGGGGTTTCACTTGAGGTGATTATTAGTTCTATTGCCTTTTCTAAATAATACAGCATTCTTGAGAGGTAGTAATATAACTATACTAACCTCCATATATGCTGTAAACTCTGAAATATGTTGAGAAATTAAATTCCTCAATCAGAGTGCCTAAGTTTGAAATGCTCAGTGTTGTACCAGATTAGAAGTATGCGTTAGAACTGTTTAACAAACCTAAAGGGGAGTTTCCTCCCTCGTTCGTTCGTTTGTTTGTTTGTTTCCTTCTGTTTCTTTATGATTGCACTTGAACTGGTATAAAAAAAAAAAACAACCTTAGGCACTCATGATTCTCAGCCCATCTCACACTATTTCTCTTCAGCCTCCAGTGCTTTATAAGTAGAGAACATTCTTCAGTTTTTCTTCTTGGGTTTACATGTACAGAATCTGCTTTAGAGGAATGTAACACTGCATTGTTCTCAGATGAGGTCCCCCAAATTAGAAAACAGGAGCAGAAGCCTGAAGACCTCGTGAGTAAAAGGCCAGCTTGGAAATCACGATGATTATAGGTATTCAACCTGCAAAAACGAATGCAGTGCATCAGTAAGAGTTTACCCATCAGTATGTATCCAGATACATCTTCATCTTGGTTAACTAAAGAGGTAGTGTTCAGTCCTTTCATCTTGCAGGCAGTTAAACTGTTTCTTTAGGAGGCCAGTTAGGTCAGACAGCCCTTAATTCGGAGATGTAGATCCCCTGCCTCTGTCCCAGCAGGGTATATATGTCAGGTTGCAGCCCTTAGATAAGAATTGTCCAGCACTGGTGAGATACCTGGGGAGGGTGGGTAAAAGCACTTGTTACCAGGCCTGACATTCTTGAGTTCAATTCCTGGGACCCACAAGAGGAAGGAGGATCAGGACTGATTCCTGAAAGTTGTTCTCTGACCTCTATGTGTGTACCATGGTGTGTATACACACATGCACACACACACACACACACACACACACACGAACCTGTATGGCAAGGTACTTGTCTGGCCTTAGCAAGGGCAGAGTCCCATCCCCAGCACCGCAAGAAAACAGTGGCAACAAGGACAGAAAAAATCATCTCATTGCCACTGATTAAACCTGACTTGTAAAATCATCAAAGTTCTAAGACTAAGTGAAAGTTTTAGGTCGTGTCTTACATATTAAAATAATACATAGTAACACTTTGTATGATTTGTAGTTCTATCAATCACTGTCAGATATATATATATATATGTGTGTGTGTGTGTGTGTGTGTGTGTGTGTGTGTGTGTGTGTAGGAATTATTTTCGTCTCAAGTTCATTTTTTTTTTTTTTTTTTTTTTGGTTTTTCGAGACAGGGTTTCTCTGTATAGCCCTGGCTGTCCTGGAACTCACTCTGTAGACCAGGCTGGCCTCGAACTCAGAAATCCGCCTGCCTCTGCCTCCCAAGTGCTGGGATTAAAGGCGTGCGCCACCAACGCCCGGCTCTCAAGTTCATTTTTAAAACTTTATTACTGTTTAGTTTTTTCTTTTTTCTTTTGTGTATGAATGTTTTGCCTGCATGTTTCTCTGTGCACCGTGCATGCAGTACACACAGACACCAGAAGAAGGAGTCAGGCCCGCTAGAACCAGAATCACAGACAGTTGTAAGCTACCATGTGGGTACTGGGAATCAAACCTGGGTCCCCTTGGAGAGCAGCCAGCACTCTCAACCACTGAGCCATCTCTCTAGCCCCCTTCAGAGGCAATTAAACCTAAGAGTGAATAAGGACGCACGCACTCGGATACTAAACTGCTCCCTTGGCAGTGATAGGGTGAAAGGAATTTTTAAACTTCAGTTTAAAATGAGGAACTGTGAGGGAAGAAAGGGGATGCTTGTCAGGCCATTGCATCTACGTCACTGATAAATATCAGCATGCAGGCTACCAGTGTGTCTAAAGGTAAGATACGTGTTTACAGAAGGTGTGGCTTGCCAAGAGTAAATGGCTCATCGTGTGTCTTGCTAAGGAAAATTCTTGTAACTTCTGTGATCCACATACCTCTTTAAACAAATGACGAAATACCAATCCCCAATATTCAATCTGTTTTATCCAAAGCCACCGAGGCCCCAAATTGAACTTTCTACCTTTCTATAAGATAACCTTATTCTTGTCTTTATTCTTCTGTTCAGAACATTTTTATATGAGTGAATGAAATTTAATTGCTTATAGGAATATAACTTAAAATATTGTTGGTAA